AAAGTAGTCGAAGTAGAAATTCTTACATATTCAAGACCAATAAAAAAAAAAAAAAAAAAACTTAATCAATTGGGTATAAAATTATCCAAAATATTATCGAATGGTTGATCACAAAAAAATAGTATTGAAATATTTCAGTGATTTGTAAAATATAAGATTTTTAATATTGTAAAGTTTTTCACATAAAGAAAGTACAGGAAAAAAAATAGACTTTTTCTTATTTATATATGCTATTACTCAATAATTTTTTTTATAGAGATAATCTGAAATAGTGTAAGTACTCTGTATAAACGGTTTTCGCAATATCATCTTGGACCGTTATATATTAAAAATCCAATTAGGAGTTATTTTTTTTAACATCTCTCTTAGTACTTAGATTAACTTAACAAATACATATGGTAATTCAAATAAAATACAATTAAATAGGTACATATAAAAGCTGGTATATCTCATTTATTTACTATAGACTTCAATTCCCAAACCACAGAAATCAACGGGAGTAAAAAAGTAGATATAAAACATCAAATTGAACCGTAACTCCATTAAACATAACCCATATACAGATATGTTATAATATACATTTATAATAAAATATACTATTACGAATTATAATTATTCGTACAATAACACAAAACACCGACATTTTTAATTTACATATATAAAAACAAACTCTTAAAACAGATGTTTACTTCTCTCTCTCTCTCTCTCCACACATACACTCTCACTCTCTCCCTTTCTATACATCTATATATTACATTTTGTAATTTGTGGAATAATCAAATAAATACTTTTGATATTTGTTACTATAATTAGCAAATATACGAAATATATTTTGCATTAACGCAGTATTCCAGTATCATTTTATTAAAGTTTACATTCATTTTTTTGAGCTAATTTTTAAATAATTTAGAGCTCGATTTTATGAAGCGCTCACATTTTAGTCGCTTTTCTAATTTAGTTTAAAACCGGACAATTTATTTTATTTTATAAATTTGGTACAAAACTGAAAAATAATATTTAAGTTATATCAGAAATTAATTTATACAGTACATATTATGAAGAATTATTGCAATTTTAATTGAAAGAATAAGTTCACTTCACTTCAAATTTTAAGAAAATTAAAATGATTTAAATAACACTGTTAAATGGCTGCGGTAATTAAGTATTAATAGAAAAAAATTAATATTAATTGAGTTCACTTTGTAAATATTTTGACTAGATCATAAACTTGTTGAGCTTATTAATGTGACAAATAAATGATGTACTGAATGAGATTTAATTTATTGTTTCATTAATTATAGTTGATGTTGTTTTTTAAATTACAAAGTGTCATTGTGTACTGGTTCTTGAAATCGAGAATTGATCATTGAAATGTAGTTGCGCACGCGATTGTCGAGACCTCAAGGAAATGTAGTACTTTAAACGTGCAATTATGGAAAAAAGTATTTAATAACTAAAAATAAAAATAAAAGAGAGCCTAAATCAATCTCTGTCAGTTTTTATGTTTCGTTATAAATATCTCGCAATAATTTTTTTCTATACATATAAAATACCTTGATCTTACCTTCTATGATCAAAAATAATTTGTTCGCGTATTATATGGATTATAGTATGTAAATATAACTGTATATTATGCAATATTACAATGCAATACGTAGAATATCCGAGTTATTTTTTAATGGGCATATGAAACACAATTTTTTTTTCCATCCTTTTACTCAGATGGTTTTAACTCGTTTGCGAACAGATGAGTACCACGCGTGTAATACGTATTGACGTGATGTACTATATTTTCTATTACTTATAACAGGGATAACTTTATTGGAAACTTGCGGAGTGCACGTTGTCTGCCGGTACGATTAGGTAAAATACACTAACGAGTGCACAGGAGGTCGTGGCCTTTTAACTCGTCCCGTTTCTGTTTCCTCGCGGTGTTCATAGTAATTATGACTCATTTTTTGTTTCGTTTAAATACGATTTCACGTAACATCATTAAAACGTGTAAGCGCGTGGACCATAAAAAAAACCTTTTTTTTTTTTTTTCGATAAAAACAACATTATTATGTTATTACTCGAAAAGGAGAGAGAAAGAGAGAGAGAGAGAAAAGACTTAAGCAATAAAGGTGTCTATGGTTCCCGTGAGAAACCGATGAAAATTAATAATTTGTCGACAGCGTCCCGTCATCGTCGTTCATTGAGAATTTTATCAAACGGCAGCGGCGCCTCGAATTCTTTTTCCCTCCGCGTAATGTACGTGTATGTACGTGATATGTACATAATACACACGCATGCCGCTCGGCCGTTTCATCGTCGTCATCGCGTTGCCCGAAGGTGACGACAACGTCTTCGTCTTATTCGTCGTCGTCGTCGTCGTAGAACTCGCGTGTGTACAACGCCGCCGCCGCCGCCGCCGACGACTCGTTCAGACATGTCGGAGACCCCGTCCGTTGTTTCATTGTTATCCGTGTTTTATTTTTTTCATTTATTTTTTACGTACGTATTATTATTATTATTATTATTATTATTATTTTTTTTTTTTAATAATCTTTTCTCCCCTCCGTGCGTTTCATTGTTTCTCTTTCAGTCACGAGGTATTTCCCTCCGCTCCCCTCGTATCATCTCCTCCCCTCGCGCGACCACGGCCGCTATTATTATTATATAGGTATCTATTTACGCGCGCACCGCGTATACATATAGATATGCTTCTTCATCTCCGCGGTAAAGGATTAAATATAAGAAGAAGAAGAAGAAGAATAAAAGTTGGAAGAGTCATCGGTACGGAATCTATGCAACCGTCAAAGAACTCCACGCGCACACAATGATCGTCTTTTTACTTCTCTCCGCGTCCTCCTACTCGTTCGCTGTGTACACCGCGCATAGCTGTCCGTTCTTCTCCGCGGCCTCCCACGCTACGCAATCTTCCCTCCGTGATCTATAGACCGCGCATATATTATAATATACGATATTATAATTTATATTATGTTCTATCGCATTCCCCGGTCTTGTACGTATGCGCGCGAGGATAAAATATATATCATACGTGCTGTTTTCCTTTCCTTTTTTTTCTTTTTTGTGTTCTTAATGTATGCGCGTTTATAATAAGAACGAAATTAATATATTTCGCGTACACGCTTGTGTTGTACGCGCTCATATTCTTTTGCAATTTTACCGTTTATATTTTTCCAAACATTACACGTTCGCAACGTACGAGAATATAAAATAAAAACACGGGTGCATTGTAAGTGTTTTTAACGTCGCAGACTGTAGACGTGCATGGGTGTGTAATATATACGTAAGATAACGTGACGGCTCTGCGGGTCCATGACGACGTAATGCCGGTTCGACACATTTCGCCCGTAAACCGAAATAATTTGTAGTTAACGGTCGCCGATAAATTCTTTAATTTATCGCCACTGTCGGTAGGCACGTACGTATGAACAAAACAATCTTTGCGACCATTTGCAACAGCACCAACGGTAGAATATTGCTGGTTGAAATCGAATCCAAAGTCGTTGACCAAACCTTAACTTACCGAAGCTTGTCTACGTATACGGATCGTATTGGATGAACAGATGTAAGCCACGATAGGTATACTCGTATAAGGTTAACCACGCCGCGCCGTACGCATCCGAACGAAAATATTGTTAACCCCACATGTATTATGGAAACTAACAGGCGCGTCCTTGTTAAAAGGGTCTGCGTTCGACCAGTGACGTCAGCCCTAAAAATATTTAATCCATTACCGTGTCGGTTAAAGATGTAGGACTGACGTGTAGCGGGCACTTCCTATCTGGTTTAGATGTAATGCATAAGTTTGACAAGAACGCTTTGGACGTGTTCCGGTTGGGTTGTTTCAGAAAATTGTATTAAACGGAGCGACGGGAAAAAAACCGTACTTCCTCAGAACTTTGTGATGAGAACAATAAAATAATAATAGTAATGTATATAAAAATGTATACGTACACACATTTAATGCCAACGTTGTAGTTAAATGCTATAATTCCGGTCGTAATATAGTTTAAATTGTAAGAAATAGAAGACATTATAGATGTACATTTTTTTTAACGCCGCGTCAGCGTAAGAACGCGTTTTTTAAAAATTCGATTGCGAATAACGTAAAACTATAATCAAATGTGTCGTTCTTGCGAACGCGCGAAACTGAAAGTATTTTGTCCAAGTATTATAAGACATAATAATCTATGCACTACAGTATTTTGGTTCGGCTGTACAGAGTGAATAGGTTAACGATGAGTCACTTTCGTATCGAAATCATACGATAACTCCCAGGGTTCGATTTATTGGTATCGTTAATGCCGCGAGCTGAATTGTACACAATTCGATTGTGACTTTGGTAGTATTGTTATCTTACCAAAAAGCAAAGTACACGCACGTGACTAAACAATAGGTATTTTAAAACAAAAAGTTCTCGTGCTCTAAAACTTCGCCTCGGGCTCTCTCTCTCTCTCCACGACGGGGTAGCCTATAAAAACCGAGATTTCGACGTAATCGCTTAGACTATTGAAATCAAGATATCTATTCAATAAGCAGAAGGAATTAATTACACTAATAAATCACTTGGAATTTTTGCCGTTTTTTGGTTTACAATAGTTCTATTTGGCCCAATTGTTCGTGCGCAGGTGGTCGAGTTGTTGCGAATGTATAAGATTAACATATTTACATTATCATACGATTATCAATTCAGTTCGAATACATCGTTTAGTATTAGTTTTATTTCGTTTATTATTTTTATCACTGGGTAATTTAATATAACATGCAGACTTTTAATGGTACTATTTTTTTGATCCCTTTTTAGGATTATTTATTATTTATTGATGTAGATCAACGTTAACGTTTATATACTTCACATTTTGTTCTATAAAACGCAATTATTGTTTATGTTCATATTTTTCTTTTTTGTAACTTCTAAACTTGTAACTTGTCCATTTGTAATATGAAAACAACAAAGTCTGTAACCAACCACGTATTAACTTTGATTTCAGGTGAAATACTATTGCGGACCGGCTAAATGGAATAATCGAGCTCCTTTAGTGACGACCGAGACGCTAAAAACGCCGGAGAGTCAAGAAGTGTGGAATATCGAGGAAGAAGATTTGAGTTCGGCAAAATTGACATCTAAACTGTTTAAGTTCTCCGACACGGAAACCGTGGTCAGAGTACGTGGACTTTTCTCAAATATGGCACACTCGATGTGCTCCAATTACACAACGACGAATTGTTGGAATGGCCGGACAGTGGGAGAGTACGTATTTTTTAGTTTTATCAATGTAATGTATTGTTGTATTCGTCCGTATCCTTGAGCCCAATATATCACAGACAAATCATTAATTGTTGGCAATTGACTGCGACATACGAACACACTATATAGATATTGAAAATTATTGTCAAATTCACTGCTGACGCTTTAGTTTTTTTATTTTATTATTGCTTGACCCTGCCAAGGCGGATTAACGAATCTTATATTTATTGATTTATTCATTTGTTATTTGTATCGTACACAGATATACAGACAATGTAGTCGGGCCATTGTTGAGCGCACAAATGTACAACCCGGAATTCGATTGGACGTCTTCCATCAACACCCAAGACAATAAAGTGGCGGAAGTCATTGATAAACTCAGACATATCAGACAAGTAAATAACACATTAAAGCATAAGTTCGGGCTAGAGAGGTATGTTTGCCTTTGACAGATCAATACAATGTATATTTATATATTTATACAATGAGTTTGACGAGAACTCGAAATTGTTTACGAAGCACTAAACATAATACATGATACAGGAAAAGCGTAAGATTATCAATTTCCATAATAAGCTAATCGGAAGTATAAACAATAGTTGAACTCTATACGTTAATAACATGTTGTTTATTGTTTATTCTCAACACGAATATCATTGATCGATTTAGGTATAAAATAATGACTTAATTTAACACTTCTTAAACAGGTTATCATAGGCAATTAAAAAAAAAAAATACAATGAGTTTTTATTAATGGATCTGTTGAAGGTGTACATAATACGATATCAATCTAATTAAATCTGTCGTTAGCGATTGCGAAATCGACCAACAGTAACAGTCAATTAATACAATTATATTTTATTTTTTGATTTCTAGATGGTTTTGAACCAATTGACTCCTAGTTCACAGTCTGATTTGTTTATGGCTGACGAAGCCGAAGGGTCTGGTGAAGGCAGTGGTGACGGCGGTGTGTCTAAGCACGCCGGTTGGGACGACGACGATAACGTGGACGAATACTCTTCGGGTGATGGATCCGGTGAGAACCCGATTACCACCCAGCTGCCTGGCGTTGCAGACCCTAAAGGTAATTTAGAAATAAACATAACCAACAATTGTGTACACGAAACCGTATCAGCACTAAATTTATGGTATTCACTTGTTTTCGTTTTTTTCTTTCTTTTTCTTGTAGGTCACCCGACTGATATTTCGGCGCCAAAATCCGGTTCAGATATAGTAATAAACTCCAAAGAACCGACAGGCGTCGCATCGTCTCTACACGTACCCCTATTGATAATGGTGTGCTTGATCCCAGTGACGAGGATATTTTAATCGTACTTGTTTGATTGCGTTAAGTTATTATTGTTGTTAAGTGAAACTTTGTTCTTGAATTTATTCAGCTTTTCTTATACGGTACCATTTCGAAAAAATATAACATTTCTGGAGATAAATTATTATTATAATTTTTTTCAAAACGGGACTATTATATTATTGTCATTATATAATTGTTTTTTTTTTTTTTATGTCCTTTAGACTGATAACATTGTATTCATATTATTTATGCGTAAAATGTTCTTGTAGTAGAAGATTTATGTTTTTTGTCGAAAACTCCGCGCAATATAATTTTTATTGTAATAACAATCGTTAATATATACCATTAGGCTTACTAACATAATCCAAACTTTAACTTTGTCTTAACGATTTATTTTTCTTGAGCAATAATTATTAATAATATAAACTTATGGAAAAAAAAAAAATTTAAAAAAAAAAAAAAAACTGTAAATACGTCTAGTCTATAGTTTTGAACACTTAATCTTATACTAAGCTATTATATTCACATTTATTCGACGGATTATTTTATATTTTCATGAATTCCGCATTTTTTTATTCTTACAAGCAATATTATATACGTTTTAATATTATTTTATTTCGAAATATTTTTTTTAAGACTAATATTTATACAGTTAAATCAGTTAATCAGTTAAATCGACCGCCACCACCGTAATCGTCGCAACAATTCAGGTGGTATTTCACTATTTGTGGCCATAACAATATTACATTGGCATTCAGAAAACGGCGAATATAAACTGTTTCCATCAGTCTTCACGTAAACGTGTCGAGATTTAATTGTGTGAATAAATGAATAATAATAATAATTATTATTATTTTTATTATTATTATTATTATTATTATTATTAATATTATGAGTACATACGAAATGAGATCGAAAACACCACGGGAATCATTATGACATTGTTTAGCGATTTCATTTTCGATAGAAAAGTAATGACAATAATATTAATAATAATTAAAAGGCCCTAATAGAACAAATAATTATATGTTTTGTTTTAACTATTATTATTATCTAACGATTGTTACGCATGTGTTCACCGTGAAACGTGTATGTATCGATAAATCCGTTATCGGTGAGCCTACCCATACCAGCGCATTACGGTATGGTCGACGGATATTCCTTTCGGGCTTCCAGCGGGTGTCAAGAGATTGCTTGCAAAATATTTTTTCCTATATTTTTCGATGTTAAGCACATAAAAGAATCGGATTCATTTGTTGGAATATTATGTTATTTTATGAGTGTTTTATTGAAAAAAAAAATATATATATATATAATAATAATAATTAGTGGCAAAAAATTGAATCCTTACATGTAATTGCCTTAGTTTTTTTTTTTTTTCATTTTGATGACTGTGATTTGTATAGTTAAGTAGGCAAATTTAAAAATTATTATAAATTATCTTTTATGTTTATTCATGCTAATAATAAATATTGTATAGTTATGTATTATATAATATTATAATAAAGAATACAATTTTTAGACTACGCGTTTATGTTATACTATATTTGAAGTGAATACCTTGAAGTTCCATTAACCAGTGTTATAAAACATCGATTGCCCATAGAGTTTAGCGATCCGTCGGAACTGCTCGGTCGTTCGTGTACAAATGACCGCTGAACATTAGGTAGCCAATAACATAACGGCACCGTTACACGTAACATTATGTGTAACAGAAATTGCTGTTTGCCTACCGCACGTCGCGCGCCGTCATCGTTTTACTGTCATTCTCGGAGTTGCGGATTCCGGGATAACCGTTATCCGTGTCGGTTTTTTTTAAAATTAATATTTTATTTGATTCGTCGCATCGAATTCCTGGGCAAGCATTGAAATATTTCTAAAACGTTTCACCGACAACGCATTGAATAACGCATAATATAATACCGATTTTTCTTCGCACCTCGTCTCTTAATTTTTCAATCCACCGGATTCCGATAAACGTTTCCTGTCGGCTGTTGCATCGTACTGACAGACGAAGAACCGTACAGGTTAGACATAACGTGCGGTATACATGATGCGACGGTGAGCCCGGATGAGTCGTGAACAACGCGGCCGCCGTCGACGCAGTATAAAAAACGCGTAAACGTTATTGATATTATAAGCGTGTATCATATTATTTAGCATTACCGCTGGCACGAGATTTAACCGCAAGCACGGTCGCGGTTATAGACAAGATCTGTCCGTCACATCGATATCGTGACCGAACCACCGGCAACGATGCGGACACCCCCCCCCCCCCCCAATCGGATCCAATCCGTCGGACGGCCGGACTGTGCAATCCAGCAAAATGCGCAGACGTTCGGGCGGGCGCCAATCACTTCAATACCGTCTCGCGATGATTTCGAAACAAAATATTTTTTTCAAAAATAATCTTAAAGTATTTTAAACAGCAGGTTGCACGCATTGCACAGTCGATAACACTGATAACGTTAACACTTGTTTTCGACCGTACAACGATTTGGATTTGAGGGGGTGAGGGGAAATATTATTTCGACAAACGAACGGGTGAAGGTGATTCCTGCCCGACGCAACACTTTTTTCTGCGATTGTCCGTGACATTTACGTTGTTTTTCGTTCAGTCGAAATGTCCTCGCAATGGAACGCTGCGCGTTTCGCGATCGTTTACTCGTGTACAAAAACAATCGGCGTTAGTCTACACAGAAATGTGAACAACAAACCTTGCGACGATCTTTGGATCTTAAAGCCGACCAACAGCATGCCGTAGGAAACGCGATTTAACCGTACGGTTTTTCGTCCCGCCGGATATTCGATGATTTTCCGATTCGTTGACCGGTCAACGACCGTTCTCGTTCACTTTCGGTCGAAGACGTTTCGACGTGCTCGTCGCACAACACGTTTTAAATATCCGTTCGGTCGGTGAAGTTTTTCTCCGCATACTCGTTGTGACGGGTTCCGAACAGGCGTGCCACCGTGGACGGGTTGACGGCACCGGGATGAGAAAGTTAAGGTGACCGTCCCGGAAAGGGTTGTTCGCGCGGAGAAAAAGTTCGTGCCGTTACCGGGCACGCGATAACGTCAACAACCACAGCTGTTGGGACACAATATTTGGCCGTCGGAATGGAACGCGGACGGAAGCGATGCGTACCCGTGAACCAAGCGAGTCGTCGGTGTATTGTAGCGTTACGATGTCATCGACATTTGTCGAGTGACACATGTAATACATATTTTATTGATTCGGTCTATAAGGTTCATCACAAGCGCCCCTGGCAAATTTAGAAGAAAACGTCTTTTGATCAATTAAAAATTTGATGCGATGATATTTTTTTTGACCTTTAATTCTACTGATTTTTTCTCAAGAACACTTTTTATCAGTATTATTATTGAAGTGTAAATCTTAGGCTTTGAACATTCGCGATTCTCGTTTCAAGACTGGCGAGTTCATCGATTATTTCTTTTTGCGATATTTCCTACGTAAATTCTCTGGTTTTCATGGTTTCATCGTTAAATGTACAATCAGACAAAATCTATATGTTTTAAAAAAATGTAAAAGAAAATTTGCATTTGCCACACAAAATAAAAGTACGAATTTTGCACGATTTTGCGCTGCTTCGCGATTCGCGTAGACACAGTTCGCCATGCCCTTGCTTCGCCACTGGGTCTGAGCACAAGCGCAAGTACGCACGTGGTGAGTGCGCCGATTACTTGGACACCGCAAACAATGGAACGCACAGTGTAACGCGTACCGTCGGTGACGTACCCGTATACGGTGTTCAGGTCGAACACTTCTGCGCGAAACGGTTAGGAAAAATAACCGTTCGCCTGAGCGCGCTGAACGTTTTGTCGTGCGACTTTAGGTGTAAGTTCTGGAATCTTGTAGTCGTATGTTTTGTTGTAATTTTATCGTACGAGCCTCGTAGTACCGTAAGATGAAAGCATTTAATCATGAGCGTCCCCAGGGCACTTGTTCCCTTAAAATTTTAAATTTTTTTTTCCGAAGCGTTATCTATAAGGCGTCAATTTAGTAAATATAGATTATTTTAATTATATATAGTAGAAAACTATCTTTAATAACGATTGGACTTATCGCATTTAATCTAATGTTTGGTGAAAAAGAATAATGTACAAATAAAATATAAGTATAAAATGTATAAAAATATCTTCATTTATTTTTTAAATTAATTTTGCTCCCCCCCCCCCCTCCTTCCATAAAAGAATTTAGGGAGATGACCATGCATTGAATACAATAACAACAATAACTATTACGAGCGATAATAAAGATATCACGTTGTAAAATTAAACTAACCGAAAACGTTGATCGATTTTTTCTCGAGTAAGTTTTTTTATTAGTTTTTGAAATGGACGTTAATTATTTGTCTTTTCGAAAGTCGTTCAGTCTTTCAAAGCGGAGTTATAACTTTTATCCATTAATTGTGAAAAATCAAACAAATTATAACTTTATGAATTTATGACGTGTGTTAAAATGTGCAATAGTATTTAATGGCTCCTTTGTGTTTTAACTTGTCGGAAAATGACTTGATTGACGTAAATTATTTATTAAATACTCGGTTAGGAGGTGTACCATAAATTTCCATTATTTGTGTGTTGTGAGAAACTGAAAACGAAGGCACCGTTTCTGTGAAAACAAATATAGTTTATTTCAACAAATTTAAAATTACTAAGAATCTCGGTCACAGTAATATTGATTTTTAACGTTTTTAATGTGCTAGAACTATATAGATGATATTATTAAACGTTATACAACATGTACCGTTAAAATGTTATTTTATGGTATTTGTAAGGACGTATAAAAACATGTATTTATATATTTACTCGTATTGTACACGTAATAACTCTAATGAGAAATTATTCAAAATGTTCAACGCACATCGATTGCAAACGCTTTGGCTATTTTTTAAAACGTTTACCAAATTACAGAGATAATACTTTAGCAATAAATAAAGCAGTTGGAAATAATTTAATTGAATCCGCAGCGTTTCTCCAAACTCGAAAGCCAAACAAAACTTATTCGGATTTAAATTTTTAATAATACATGACCGGGAAATGGAAAAAAGTTAATTTAAGCTGGTATCAACTATTTAAACACTTAATTGATGGAATATTCATGTATGCATATAAATAAATAAACATTTTATTATTTTAACAGAATACTTTTTTCTCTGCTT